CGCACCGTAATCCTAGCCAAAACTCTGGGAGGCGAGGCAGGACAGATGGCTCAAGGTCAAGAATTCAAAACCAAATTACATTCAAGGTACCTTAGGCATTCAATCATTCGAGAAGCAATTTTCTTCCGACGCATCATGCTGAATACCCATATTCGACTGATTCCACAGATTGCAGGCTCTGGCGATGTTGAGCAGCACCAGGCTTTTTGCCTTTCAAATCTGACTTTTTCTTCTTCTGACCTGATAGCTGGAAGTTTCTCTTCTATAACTCTGTAGCCCTATAGGTATCAAAATTGGAGGGAAAATTTTACAGTAAGACTATTAATTAACAAGTGTCTAGTATTGATCTTCTTGGGGAGATCACTACTTTTGTCTGGCTTCTTAACAAATTATGGGGATCACTTATGCTTTCACTCTCATTTTTAGGAAACAGACAAACCTCGATCTATGTTCTGTTCTAATTCACTTACTAGTCAGCGATGATTAGAGAAAATCACTCAGTTTCTCTAAGCTTTGGGTTCCTCATCTATAAATTAGGGGTAAAGCATCACCTCTCATTATGAGAGATTAAATAAGGTAGTACACAAAAACCACCTTGCCATCATGAGTGGCCTATAATAGGAACTAAACATTAGTTCTCTCCACCTCCTGCAATCTAAGGAACAGCAAAAGTACATGTTAAGAACTCAGCAGTGGCCGGGCATGGTGGCTCATGCCTGTAATCCTAGCACTCTGGGAGGCCGATGCGGGAGTATCGCTTGAGGTCAGGAGTTTGAGATCAGCCTAAGAATGAGCAAGACCCTGTCTCTACTAAAAAATAAAATAAAATAGAAAAAATTAGCTGGGAAACTAAAAATAGAAACAAAAAATTAGCATGGGCATGGTGGTGAGTGCCTGTAGTCCCAGCTACTCAGGAGGCTGAAGCAGGAGGATCACTTGAGCCCAGGAGTTGGAGGTTGCTGTGAGCTAGGCTGATGCCACAGCACTCTAGCCCAGGCAACAGAGCAAGACTCTCAAAAAAAAAGTCAGCAGTAATAATAGCTATTTCTGATGGCCACCATAGTTCTAGAGTTCACAGTTATGCAAGAACTAGGAATAGGGATGGCAGAGAAATCAAACATTTAAAAAGGCCCTTTCACCATACTCCAATCTTTAAAGGAAAAGAAAGTAAAAATCGTACCTCTCCTCTGCCAGTCTATCTGCCAAGACTGTGACTAGCCTTGTAATAGGACAAGGTACAAAACTTAAAAGCAATTAGACAACACAATTAAGAGTTAGCAAAAACAACCCAAACAAACATTACATAGCTACCTTCTAGTCTAAATACTGCTACAAGTCATTTTTGAACCAGATGGAATGGAAATTAAAAAAACGTAACAGTTTGTGCTATGTAAAATCAATTCATTCTCAGTATGGCAAACTTCCATGAGTTAGTCATTTTATATCAAATAAATATCCCCAAACTACCTTATTGGCTATTTATTTAGATCAATCTTGTTATTAATATAACAAGATCCATAAGAACTATAAAGTTTCAAGTTGAATTTCTATTCATTTATTTTTTAAGAGATGAGGTCTCACTATATTGCCCAGGCTGGAGTGCAGTGGCTATTCACAGGCACATAGTGCCCTAAAGCCTTGAACTCTTGGGCTTAAGCGGTCCTCCTGCCTCAGCTTCCCAGCAGCTGAGACTACAAGTATGGGGCGCCTGGCTAAATTTTTAAAACATGCAGCTTAACATATAGAAATAAATTCATGCAGACTTGTTTTGACTTTTTACTTTATTAGAAATTTTTATGATAAAGCATAAAATTTGCAGGCAGCTATTAATATACGAAAAGATACCAATAAACAGTAGTCATATACAATGTATACTGAATTCATAAGCAAGAACTTGGCTGAAAAAAAAAAGACACAACTTAGGTATGCCTCAAAGGGAGCATAATTAGAGAGTCCAGAAGCTTCTGTTCTCTTATGTTGCTCTCATTTACTACATAATACCTGTAATGTAAACATATCCTTTACTATGATTCTATTGTTTTTGTATAATTTGGCTTCTGAACACAAGGCAACTACTCATCTAGGGTTCATCCAAAGAACTAATCAATTCCAGGTGTTAGCTTTTCTATAAAGGCACAGATAGCATTGCAGCTCACTTGGTTTCTGTTGCAACTATTCAACACCGCCTTTCTAGTAGGAAAGGAGCCATAAACAAGTATGTGAGCAAATGGGCATGGCTGTGTTACAATAAAATTTTATTTATAAAAATGGGCCATATTTTGCCCACTCCAGTTTGTCTACCCTTGATTTATTTCAGTGCTGGTGGGACCAACCAGAAAAGACATTACATTTATATCCATCATGGAAACTTCCTAAATAAACTTTAACAGTACTCTGATTCTATAGAATTTTTACCTTACTGACTTGAGAAACTAATTCTCATGTAAAAATACAATTCCACTATTGTAAAGAATCACACACATGAATTTTTGCATTCACACTCTTCCTTACATAAAATATAGACAAATTTATCAGGAATACATTATTCAAGATTACACAGTAAACTCATTAAACACCAAACTACTTAAGAGCACTCTTTAAAAAATCACTTACCCATTGGATATGTTCTGCGATTAAGCAGCCAACTACTTTTTTGTCATTAGAAATAAAGAGAAGTGTTTTAGTTCTGGAATAGCACATTAGTGGAGCCTGTTGAAAACCTAAATCATTATCAACCATCTCTCTAATCTCGTCAACCTGCCAAATAAAGAACAAATTTTTAACAAGGAAAACACTGCATATGTGTGTATATATATATAGATATATAAAAACATACTATTTCAGTTCAGTAAGCTGAGTAAATTATTCCAAACAGGACATCCTCTAAAGAGTTCTTTTGAATGACTCTGTTGATCAATAACTGCTTTTTAAACCCTGTGGGCCACTTTCTAAAATGAGGGAAGAACTGGAGACTAATGCCAAGCCCAGCAGACTAGGGAACAGAGGGGTGAAAACCACTATAATAGGTTAAAAAAAAATATTAAGGCTTCTTTTTTTTTTTTTGAGACAGAGTCTCACTTTGTTGCCCAGGCTAGAGTGAGTGCCGTGGCGTCAGCCTAGCTCACAGCAACCTCAAACTCCTGGGCTCGAGCGATCCTTCTGCCTCAGCCTCCCGAGTAGCTGGGACTACAGGCATGAGCCACCATGCCCAGCTAATTTTTTTTATATATATATCAGTTGGCCAATTAATTTCTTTCTATTTATAGTAGAGACGGGGTCTCGCTCTTGCTCAGGCTGGTTTTGAACTCCTGACCTTGAGCAATCCACCCGCCTCGGCCTCCCAAGAGCTAGGATTACAGGCGTGAGCCACCGCGCCCAGCAAGGCTCTTATTAGAAGCATTCAATTTGTAGATTGGAGAGAACTTCACTGGAATCTTAGCCAGGCAAGCCACCTTTCTTTCCAAGCCTTAAATAGTACTGCCATTGGTAAAATAGAAGTGAGCAAAGAGGAAACAAACTCCTGTTTATTTCCTATCAACCATTTATCGGCCAGACATTATACAAAGCACTTTATGAATATTATCTCATTTAAACCCCACATATCTTGGAGGTTTATGGTTCACCTTATATAGGGAAGAAGTAAAACTCAAAGGTTAATAATTTTCCCATGTCAGATATTAGACATCTAGAAAAATCAAGGAGCAAGGGGATTTGAACCCAAAATGTTACCAAGGCGTCAAACTGTGTTTCCAGTTTATCTCTTAGAACTGATCAAGGTCAAACATGGTAAGTTCAAACTTTTTATAGTTAAGACCTTTGTAGGCATTCAAACATTAGTCCCTTCCCTAATTAAAAAATACTGCAATAAAAAAAATACTGCAAATATTAGTCTAATAAACATTTATTTGTGTTACAGAGTTTAAAATGCAAATAGCCCCTAAGAGGGTGAAGTGTTCATACTGCTGGCATGCAAAAGACCACATAGCACACTGCCTATTGAGTGATGAAAACTCAAGTCCTCCTAATCCTAAGACAGTATCCTAAAACTCCTGATTCATTTCCTAAAGGCAAATGAGTTACAATTCCCTAGATTTTAATTTTTAACCTATTATGGGCTACTAAGAGTAATACATAGAATTGTAGATTACCAAAATTTTGCTCTGAGAAACTAAAATGATAAAACTAGCATTTAGTGAGGATTCTTAGTAAGAAAAGTCTGGCTGCCACATATGGTAGTATACCAAAGTTCCCACTGTGTATTTCTGAATGATAATAGCTGAAATCCAAAAATTCCATAGTGTAATTTTCATTTAAGTTGACCTTTGAAAAACACAGGTTTGAACTGTGTCGGTCGGTCCACATATATGCAGGTTTTTTTCAATATATTAAAAATCTTTTTGGAGATTTGCAGCAATTTGAAAAAACTCACATATGAACCATGTAGCCTAGAAATATCAAAAAAAAAAATTTTGCCGGGCGTGGTGGCTCACGCCTGTAATCCGAGCACTCTGGGAGGCCGAGGCAGGCGGATTGCTCGAGGTTGGGAGTTCGAAACCATCCTGAGCGAGACCCCGTCTCTACTAAAAAAATAGAAAGAAATTAACTGACCAACTAAAAATATATATATACAAAAAATTAGCCGGGCGTGGTGGCGCATGCCTGTAGTCCCAGCTACTCGGGAGGCTGAGGCAGGAGGATCACTTGAGCCCAGGAGTTTGAGGTTGCTGTGAGCTAGGCTGACGCCACGGCACTCACTCCCGTGCAACAGAGTGAGACTCAAAAAAAAAAAAAAAAAAAAAAAAAAAATTTTTAAGTTAGCCAGGCATGGTGGCATGTGCCTGTAGTCCCAGCTATGTGGAAGGCTGAGATGGGAGGATTGCTTGAGACAAGGAGTTTGAGACAAGCCTGAGACGACCCCATCACTACAAAAAAAAAAATTTTTAAGTTAGGTACATCATGAATACATAAAATATAGGGAGATACTAGTCTATTTATGTGTTAATCAACTGTTTCTATTATTGTTAAGGCTTCCAGTCAACAGTAGGCTATTAGGAAACTTTTTAGGGAGTCAAAAGTTGTATGCAGATTTGGCCAGCCACAGTGACTCACACCTGTGATCCCAGTACTTTGGGAGGTCAAGGGGGAGGAACTCTTCATGCTAGGAGTTTAAGACTAGTCTAAGCAATGTAGTGAGACCCCATTTCTACAAAAAAATAAAAATAATAATAATTTTTTAAAAAGTTATATGCAGATTTTTGACTTGGGGGGTAGTACCCCTAACCCCAGCATTGTTCCCAGGCCAACTGTAGTCAATCACTAACCAACATTAATTCAACACATATATATTTTTATACAAGGATCAATGTTGCAAACACTAGCCAGGCTGGGCATGTTTACATGTCTCTAAAGTCTATAGTATATTACTAGGCAGGGACTGTTTGGGTATCTAAGATTGTCCCTTCAGATATATAGGGTATCTTAGAAGTCAGGAGCCACAAGACAAATTTGTATTTTAAACAGAATGTTGGCTACATTTTCAAATGATAAGTATGAAGTATTTTCCTTCAACTTCATTTTCAGTGAAATATTTCTCAGTTTAAAGAGGCTTATTTAACCTAAAAAATGTACCATAAATAAACTATTTTCCTTGTGTTTCAGATATTTTGGACATACTCTAATATAATTATTTAAGTTTTCCAGATAAACAATTGGAACCGTTGCTTAAATTATGGTACTTTTAACCATTGCTTAAATTATGGTACTTTTAAAAAAGCAACCAGAGGTTGAGGGAAAATATACTGAATATATTATTTGAAAATATAATTAACATTTTATTTAAAAGTAAGTTTATCAGGCCGGGCGCAGTGGCTCACGCCTGTAATCCTAGCACTCTGGGAGGCCGAGGCGGGCAGATTGCTCGACGTCAGGAGTTCAAAAACAGCCTGAGCAAGAGTGAGACCCCGTCTCTACTATAAATAAAAAAAAATTAATTGGCCAACTAATATATATAGAAAAAAATCAGCTGGGTATGGTGGCGCATGCCTGTAGTCCCAGCCACTCGGGAGGCTGAGGCAGCAGGATTGCTTGAGCCCAGGAGTTTGAGGTTGCTGTGAGCTAGGCTGACACCTCGGCACTCACTCTAGCCTGGGCAACAAAGTGAGACTCTGTCTCAAAAAAAAAAAAAAAAAAAAAGTAAGTTACCCTATATGACAAAATGATTCCAGGCTTCATGATCTCTCTGGGTCATTTCTCAACACAGTAAATTCTCTGAATCCTCAAAGTATGGAATGCAAGTTGGACTAAGACCCAGCTCACAATAGGAAAGATGAACATTTCCTTATGTTTTCTACAGTGTATTTATAAATCGAAATATATCTTTTCATCTCTTAACAGTATTATTATACATGTTTAAGTTTAGGTTTACCATTTACCTTGAGCTAAATCCCCTTCTTTTATTTAGAAATTTACTCTTAGAATGAAATTTTGCATTTTATTTTTAATTTTATAAATTATTATAATTCAACTTTTAATTTTAATTCTGATTCTTGAAATCAACTTACTTGGCATTATTCATTAACTAGCATGCCTTCTATTTTATCACTCAAATTACTGATAATACTGGACAGTAATAAATTCATTTAAAATTCATATTCTGGACACACTACAAAGTTTAGAATAAACAACTGCGTTGTAGTCTTTAAATGTTTACTTTTTGTTTTCAGAATTGGTGTTTAAATGTACTATGCCAGCAATGTGTTATCCTCTTAAAATTAGCTGCAAAATATTATCCATTCTATATGAAATTCCACTGGCAATTTACCTTTTTCAGGGCATACTTTGGGTCTTCAGGAAGAACCATTATTATCCTGCCATCAGGGTATTCAGCCAGAATTCTTTCTTTTTTCCAGCCCTAGATATATATATATATTTTTTAAAAAAGGATAAATTTTATCCATATTTTATTCATCACATTCATGTACAAGAAAAATAGCACATCAACTTGTCTAAAAATTACAAACATGAAAATATATGCTCATGAATGCTTAATGATGCATGATAAATCAGCTATTTTGTTAAGTATATAATAGGCACAATGCAAGCTAATTTCTCTCTACTACTTATTCAGAGATATATATGTAATACCACAAGAATATTTTGTACTTTATAATTTCCCATTTTAAATTAATTTTGAAAACCACACACAAAAGCAAGCCCCTTAAAGTCAGTGATTCCCAGAACCTAATGGGTAACTCTCTTGAAGATTCTTGATAAAAGAATTAAACTCTTAAATTTCCTTGGAACATGGTTACCTCCACAAACACACACTCATAGTTTTATGTCTGGCATGCCAAAGACCTCCAGGAGGTTTTTTAAATGAACTGATTTGCATGCAGTAGCCCAGTATGAAAGGAATAGTGTTTATGCTTATTGATAAAACTATGAAAGCCACAAGAAGGATACTATAAAAAATATAACTACCTTCTAAGAATCTAATAGGGAAGGAGAGGCTACGTTGTGTGTATCTGAAGTTAAACATACTCAAAAAAAGAGAGGTAATAAACTCTTCTTCAGATCCACACTCGTGGTGATTAATGAGCAGAACCTGCATGAAAAAAACAAAACAAAACAAAAGCCACTTAAATCTAGTAAGATGGGACTGAACCAGAGGTTAAAACTAGGAGCTTTGAAGTTCAAAAATAAGTACAGAAGGAATGAGCTTAACTAGTTGTTCCAGTTGTCTTACCCAATCAACTTTATTTTAAAAGGCATTTCCAGAAGCAATTTGTACTTCTAGTAAGCAAAACTATCATCTTTTTTGCTGATATGTGTTTCTTCTAAGAACACAAAAGCTTGATGAAACCAAGAAAATGGTAACTACATTTTTCTAATATACTATGGCAAGTCTGAAAGGAGGTTGGTTTTTCTTGAACAATGTAGAAATTTTGGGGGGGAGGGGGCCAGGATCTTAGTTGGAGACAAAAATTCTAGTAAGCTAGGTATGTGTAACAATTTCAATTAAAATATTTAAAATCCAAAATTTACAGAATAGACCATCCAACAGAAAGGTAAAATTCAGATGATTAAATTATGATTGGTAAAATATTCTCAAGATTTGAAAATGAGCAGAAACAACAGTCATAAAAGACCTTTTTTCAAATAAAAAGCTAAATCTGAATCATGTACAGATCTGAATACAGATAAACAATTTTAAAAGGCATAAAAGATATCACTTCTTTAAAAACAAATCTGTATTAATGTTACTTTCAAAAAAGCTTTCAAATGAATATTTTCTATAAAATGAAAATGGAGAATTTTCACTTTGAAAAATCGTACAAATTCAATGAAGAACTAGAAATTTAAGAAATCTCTAGTTATAAGAAAGCCATACTTCATGAACTAAATTATCTAAAGACAACTCCATAAACTATTTTCTTATTAATTGCTTTCAATCAATAATACTGCTCTCATGTCAAAATATTATAATACCACAGGCATTATGCAAACTATTTTGCTTTACTAACTTTTTAGTATAAAACTTTCTCTTGAAACAACATGAGACTTGCATGTTTATATGGAAAATTTTATCATAATTGGATATAATTTATGTGATATCGTTTTATGTTTTAAATACTATTCTGTTTTTTCACATACTAAATAAAAGACTTTTATATCTAAGAAGCAGAAACTGTGAAAGGGAGAATTACTACTGCTTAGGTTTCTTTTTTGGGGGGAGACAGGGTCTCACTCTGCCACCCAGGTTAGTGTGCAGTAGCTTTATCATAGCTCACTGCAGCCTCAAATTCCTAGGCTCAAGGGCTCCCCCTACCTCAGCCTCCCAAGTAGTTAGGACCACAGGTATGTGCCACTACACTTCATAATTTTTATATTTTTTGTAGAGATGGGGTCTCATTGTGTTGTTCAGGCTGATCTCCAACTCCTAGCCTCAAATGATCCTCCTGCCTCAGCCTTCCAAAGTGCTAGGATTACAGGCATGAGTCACTGAGCCCAGCCCTACTGCTTAGATTTCTAACTTTCGTGAATACTGCAGATTTTAGTGAAAACTTGTTAATAATTCTAGAGTAAAAGTTCAGGTTTAGTTCCTGTTCTTGGTAGTTACTAGATGTATAGCCTTAGGAAAATCTGATTATGTTTCCTGATCTAAGCCATCTATAAAATGGCTATCATCACCTCCATCACTTGGTAGTTAAGAGGGCTGTATTTAAGATGACTGCTCACAAAGTAGCCACTCAGTAACTCCCAGCCAGTAACTTCCGTTTTTCCTTCCTAATAGTATCAAACTAAGATCAATATGCACTGGTCTGAAAAAACAGTCAACCAATAAAGCATTTCAAAAGTTAAACACAACAATAAATTCAAATCACAAACAAAGCAAAATGAAAGAACCAAGTTGACTAATGTCTGTCATACTCAAGACATATATATGCCTTGATTGCCCTCGACACTTTGCTGGTCTCAATAACCATATGACTCTTCCGACTTTAGAGAATTTAGAGGATGTGAAGTCCATCTGTTGCTTAAAATTGATCTGGTATCAGTAACAGGACAGGAAAACAATTTTAAGATAAATTGGGAGGCAGAGGTTGAGGGTTCAGGGAAGGGTGCATTCAATTTAGAAGAATAACCATATGAAAACTGTCGATCAGTAAAAAATAAATAAATAAATAGAAGAATAACCAAACAGCCACAACTTTTTTCCAAAGATATAGATTCCAATGAAGTGCATATACACTTCTCACCTTTAACTCTAACATGTTATGCATATCCCTCAGCTAGCAAGCAATATTTTCCAAAACCCAATTTTTTCTTAATTCATCCATCTGGCTACTGAAAAGCAGAAAGCTTTATATTCCTAATAGCAAGCAATGAGCATTCTTTTCTCCTTCCTATTATAGATACTCTAAACTTTAGAGGCTAACCTCTCTAAATCTTGGTTTTCCTTATCTACAAAATGCATGTGAAAACTATAACACAAAACTACCAAGAAGCTAAATGAGAAAACACTATAAAAAGTTCATCATAGCACCTAGCACAATAATATGCACTCAATTTATCCTCTTTTTCTATCAAAAAAAATTACAGTTGAAAACAAAATGCACTGGGTGGTGGATACACTGATGGATACAACTGTCAAAACTCATCAACCAAACACTTAAGATCTGTGCATTTAATTGTACGTGAATTATACTCCAATTTTAAAATCATACTAATCACTTTCAGAAAAGGTTGAATGATGACTGAAAGGGAGAGAGGGACACACCTGGAAGTCCCAGGGCCCCACCAACCATCTGAGGCACTAGAGTGCCTCTCCAGGGGAACAAGAGCTGGTCACAGGAACCAAAAAAAACAGCGTGGCCTGCTCCTCCAAGCAAGTACCACCTACTGACAAGGAGGACACCCTGCACACCTTCTTCACGGCACCTACTGACTCATTATACAGGGAGTGGTCGAACCTCACCTACAGACACCACCTACT